TCAATCAGAATCACAGTACTGACAGGTGTGTCAAACCCCGCCGGGTCTACAGGCTTCGGGGGCTCGCCTTGGACACACTATGCATTTCACCTAATTTTTCTTTGACTTTGAAATGTTCCACACACACAATGCAGATGTTTCCTGGGCTTGATAAGCGGCCTGGTGGGCAGTTGTTGAACTATCCCAGACTGGTAGCCATGAACAAGTTTACCTTGCAGCTAAGAGCAATGATATTATCACTCACAACTTGTACAAAAGATATTTACATTGGCATATAATAAAACGATTTAAGTCCGAATAATTTAAGTACAAAGTTTGCAGTGCTATCACAAAAATAAAGTCAAAAGAATTACTTTCGTACCTCATATTTTCTCCTTACAAATCAGAGTTTGTTACAGAACGCTTCTCCTTCACGTGTGAAATAAGGACTAAACTGAGCATGTGCAGAGCGAGTTACGTGATTTGTCCCTCCTTCCCGGTTAAAGAAACAGACTTTCTAACGGTCACCCTACATGTGTATTATTTTACGGGGAAGTTTCGCATCTGCAAATATATTAATCCAGAACAACTTTCAGTTTTACGATAAAAACATTTAAAAATGCTTGTATTGCATTTTCCCTGGTGTTTAACATGGATATTTCAACAATGGATATATGAATTAATATACTGTAATTAAAACTGGCCTCCAACCCATATTTTAATGTTCATGAGGTAAATGCGGACTGTTCCAAACTACAAGAGAAGGGAGAGGCATCGATTTTATCTTGTGATTTTTATAAGACATTTCATTAAATTACAGTATAAGGCATTTCGTTAAATTATAAGGCATTTCGTTAAATTAGATTTTAAATGAAGAAATTACAAATTTCAAAAATATTATATTGGCGAAAATCAGATTCAGTGTCACAGACTGAAATCCTTTACTCTCCCATGTCTTGAGATATCTCGTCCTTCAGTAAAAAAATTTTTTTTGTTATTTTTTGGAAATTGTACGAAGTTGTCGTTAAAATTATCTGCAATGTCGGGTTTGTCAGATAAGGTATGTTTTATTTATTACAGTAAAAAGTAATACCAGATACAGTAAAGTTTTACAGTAGATGAAGATAATTCGTCTGGTAGGTTGTAGGTTAACATTTTAATTAAAAGTAAAAAGTAGCATATCTACTCATACGTATCGGTACATGCTGAGTATATATATATATATTTAAAGTATAATTATTTTCAATTCATCATGTCAGTAAGAACTTGCAGTAGTTATAGCGGTTTATATTAAGTGAACATACGACATGATTAGGCCTACTCGAAGTACCTACTTAGACATTAGATTTATATAAACTTATTTATAGACATTGCTAAAATATTTCATGATTGACTGCAGTTGAGGGCCCATCGTGGATTCATTGGGCTCCACAGGAATTATAGGAACTAGAAGTAAAAAGGCATTTCGCATTCTCCTTTAAATTATAATGAAAAATATGTTTGATTTACCAATTGGTCTATTCCCTCTAAGCTGTTAAAATGTAACATTTGAAAGCATTTCCATTATTAGCATCAATGCACATCAGCATATTTAAACAATGCATTCTGTTTACAAAAGAAAAATCACAGCTGAGCCTCACATTGAAAACCAGCTTTATCTTCATCCTGTAGCCTGTAACAGGTTCCCTGTATTTGGATGCTTAGGGTTACAGAAATGGAAAATTCAGAGCTGTTGTGTTCTACAGGGCATATGTTTCCAGGGTAAAGACCTCACTGAGGAACTAGTTCGAATTTTCACTGAAGACTCTGACTGTGAGGATGAAGAATTTAAAGGCTTTGCTGAAGATAACATTAAGGCAGGTGACAATACCAGGGTCAGTGTCATAGCCAGTGCATATTTGTTTTTATTAGAATTAATTTACTGCTGCAGGTCTCACTATTCTGTAGCTTAATTGTCGTGTCCTTCTTAAGATACCTTTTGATAAAGAAGGAACAGTTTGGTTCAGCTTTACTTTGACGAAACTTTAACCCTGGGTAATGTTATGGTTCCTTAATAGCCAGAGGAGCTAGTGCGTTTCGTTTATGAAGATAGGGACGATGGTGAAGACTCCTTCACCCGTGTAAAGAGGACTGGTCTGCGCATAGCCTTCAGGCTCCCTATGAAAAGAAGACGACGTGTCCAGGAGAAACCTTTGGAGAACAACAAGCAGGGTGGATCACGGAGCGGGGAGGTCAGGGTGAGTGAGAAACAGCAGACCAAGGAAGAAGATGACGAGCCTCAGATGAGCGCTGCTCCAGCGCTTGCTGCAGACGCCACAGAAGAGGACGAGTGTTTAGAGACGGAGCCCAGTGCCATGGAGAAACGGGCCACCAACATCAAAGAAAACAAAGCCATGGTAAAGCCTTTCACGTTCTTCACCTCCATTATAGACACGCATCTACTGCCACGTTAAATGGTACATCTTGATTTTACAGCTTGAAAAGTTACTGGCTGACCTAAGCTTGCTGTCTCCATCAAAGAGAACTTCAGCCACCAGAGTGTCTGTAAGACTTCGGAAGCTTATTTCACAGCTCTGGGTTGTCCTCCCCCTACTGGTTAATTGGGCCATTTACATTTCAGAAAAGGAAGAGGGTGTCTGCTAAGGATGGGATGTCATTGAAGATGAATGTGCGGCGTAATCCAATTCGCAGAGCCCGGCCTCCAGAGAATTTTGCGGCAGAGTGCCTGTTGGCCTCTCGCTCAAAATACAGGGGACATCTGTTGAAGATCAAGAGAGCCAGGATCATGACAAAGCTCATAGAGGTGACTGTTGTAATTGTGTAACTGGATGAATTAGACCAAAAAGTTCAAGGCTTAAGTACTTTTTTGGGGTTGTAATGTACTCCCAAGATAAAATATCAGAGCTGTAAAAACTGCTAAACTTTAAGGCATAGTAGAGGTGTCCGCTAACGAGATATATAACGAGATATAACTAGCCTGGGTAGTTAACTGAGTTACCATCACCCAGATGCACAGGCAGAGAGAGCGATCGCCACGGAAGCACTGTCGTCATGGCACTGCTCGGGCGCTTGAAGACACCACCAAGGAGGAGCTTGAAAGTGTGGCGAACACATCAGGAGATAAGATCCATGACAAACAACACGTGGGTTTATTAGGGTTACCATGAATCCTACAAAAAGACATCGGATCATTTTGCAGCTTGCTTCTTACTGTGAATTAATACTCAGTGGTATATTGAATATTTGCTTTATATTCATGATGATTTTGCTTGCGATGTGATATTAAATAACATGGCAATGGCTTTTTTTGTAATCTGGCCCATTACATTTTTTAAAGATAGGGCTATTTAGCAGATACCAGATATTTTAAATTTGTAAACCTTGACAATAAGCCCTAATTTGGTTACGTGCATGTTTTTATTGTGGATTGGTGCAAACTAAATATGACTGTCATTGTGGAGTTGCACAAGGCAAAATTTGGACAGGTGAAGCACTTTTGCACTAAAGGAAACTTTAATCAGTTTGCACTTCTATTTTTTGTGTGATACTCTTGTTACTTTTGTGTTTGTTACCATGGAAGTTGTACCATATATGCTTACATTTGATATTTTTGTTAAAACCCAGCCAGCATTCCTGAGAAAGCACACCATCATATTTCATTTTTAACTATGTATTCCGCAAAGAACCTCTGCACATCAGATTGTTTATTAACAACTTTTTGTTTGGTTATTCTGATTGAAAAGTCACTGTGCTGAGTTATTTGAGAGAATTAATTAATATCAAGATATATATCTAATCTAGCCAGAGGATGGAAAAATACCATTAATATTTTTTGCCCATATCATCCAGCCCCACTGGAATTGCTCAGTTGCACGATATCTATCCATTGATCTTCAAACCCGCTCATCCAGTACAGTGTTATAGGACAGAACACAGGTTCTATAGTAATTATGTTGCTTTAAGATGTAGCATTAAAGGGGCCATCTGATTAACACTCAGCCCCGCCTTACTCTTGGCTCATTTTTCAGGGTAGTACTTGCCATCAATGTAGGCAGAAAACATTGGACACGAAGACAGTGTGTAGGAACCCCAAATGCACGGGTATCACAGGGCATTTCTGTGGGCCCTGTCTGAAGAACCGGTATGGTGAAGAAATCCGTACTGCGCTCCTGGATTCTGTGAGAGTTTTTACCTCTTAAATCAATGAGCCTGGGAAGCTTCCCCCCCCCCCCTTTTCTCCTGAAGGCGTCATTTAAGAATGGCTGACAAATGCCTGTCACTTCTGTAAGTCCTGATTTGCCCCTCCCCCAGATGTGGGTGTGTCCTCCTTGTCGGGGTATATGTAACTGCAGCCTGTGTCGCAAGCGGGACGGACGCTGTGCTACCGGCATACTCATCCACTTGGCCAAGTTCCAAGGCCACACCAACGTCAAGGACTACTTGGACAGGTGAGCAGACTGTAAGAAGGTGCCAAAGCAGCAATCCAGGATCACTGAATCGTGTTACTTTAATTACTCATTACAACAATACTACGTTTGTAGTTAAAAATCTGTGGTTTTAATCAATATATGTTCTTGTACATGTTTCACTTTTAAATGCATTAAATTAATAATGATCTAATGGAGTGTTCTTTAAAGTAATCCTTTAATAATTACCATATACAGGTATAAAGTAGCAGAGTATCACAATGCCTATGATGTGATCTTTCCCCTTCTCTTCCCAGCCTTCAGAAAGAATGTTCAATCTAAGTCAACTGTGTCTTCATTCTTTGTGTTTGTATTTTACTATGCCTGGATATTTATATTTGATTTTATAATTTTCGTTCATGCTCCAAGCTCCTTTAGGCCTGTAGGTTTATCATTGTTTGCATCCCCATGTAAAGTGAAATTATTAGTCAGTTAGTGACAAAGTTTTTCACTCTTACTGTAGTTACTTGAGGACTGTTTGAAAAAAGAGGATATTTTTGTTCCATTTAAAATAAATGTTCTTCTGCAGAAATCATGTTCAAAGTCTTTTCCATCATGCAATGCTACTATTTAGAATAGGTGCTTGTGTTTACTGTGAAACTAACTTAACTTAGGCACTGATTTAACCTATTTATTTAAACGTTTTATGGGTTCCTGTAAAGGAAACTCACAAAAGGATTGCCAGTCTGGAGACTGGATTTTCACAGTGATTACACACACTGGACTCTTTCTGTGTCCAGCCCATGTGCACATCTGCCCAGAAATGTGTGCATTTCTGCAGTGCTGCCAGGTTAAAGTGAGCAGCTGTGCTGGCTGATAATCGCACACGTGCGTCATCATGGGAAAGCAGCTGCGGTCTGAGCAGTACCGTTCTAATTTGGGATGCAGAGATCTCACACGGACAGCAGTAATGCTGCACCGGCCAGGATCCACTTTGCGGACGGGTCTCTGGTCCTGAGGGGGAAGGTCCAGACGTAGGTCGGCCCACGGCGCTTGGTCTTATACAGTGGGCACTCGTAGGTGTCGCCTGGCTCTGGCTGATCGAACGGGGCAGCCCGGAGATACAGGACAGGCATCTGGGGGGTCAGCTCCTTGGGAAGGGCATCTGCTATCGTGCCGTTCTGGATATCCCACCGTGCACCTGCAGAAACCACCACCGCCATTCTTAGTACTATCATGGAAACAGGCTCCAGTGTGTTTAATGGTCTGATACCCTAGAGGCTCTTTGTGAGTTTAAGTGGTGAACGTCTGCAGTACAGTCTGATAGTTACTGAACTACTTATATGGTGAAAGATGTAGCCTTCAGTATGATGAATTGATATGCTCATCTTACCTTCCATGTAAAGGCCATGTATATAAGCACCTTCTCGTGGAGGGTGTCCATAGTCGTCCTTAAATTTCTTTGTCACGTCCACGGTTAGACGCACTTTATCCAGAGGCCATGTGTTCTTACGGGCGATGCTCTGCATTACGGCTACATCGAAAGTGAGGTGAGTAGTGTGGCATCGCATTCAAGGAGCCGTCCCAAATCATCAAGAATGCCAGATCAGCAACATTGTTGAGAGGACGTTACAAGACATGACGAAGTGGAGCTGACCTGTGAGGAAGGACTGAGGGTTGAAGAACCCTGAAAGCCACACCACTGGAGGGAGAGTCAGGTCCTGCGTCCAGACGTCCAGCTCTTGACATCGGGACAAGAGATCCTTGAACCTGGTGGATGATGGATAGTGTTTGTCTGTTTTTGGGTATATTCTGTCACAAGTTTTTACAATTAAAGTGGAAATTTAAAAATGATGCATGTCATTTGCTGTTTTTTTGGGAAACTAAGTGATTTACCATTGGGCGAGAGTCAATGTGGAGGGGTAGGCCAGTTTGGTCCAGGATTCTGGGACATTATTGCAGGATAATGGTAACTGTAGGGCCTCCATTTTTGGCGAGACAGTCAGCTGTCCCTGGGAAGGGGCACATATGGATAATTAAAGACATTTCCTGCCATCTCTGGAGGATTTCATCTTATATCCTAATGTGCATTTAAGGAAAAACAATCAGTGACCGAAACTAAAGATTTCAAAGCAAATGTCAAACGTGAGACAGAAACTATGGTTTTTCAACTCACTTTCAGTCCCATGTTCAGCTCCTTCAAAGATCTGAATATTTCACCAATCAACAAATTCATCCGTTCGCATTCCTGGAGACACACCAGGACATAGGGACTCCGTTCTGTAGATTTTGCCATTATTTCTAACATGTTGAATTCCTCTGGGAGCTTCTCCAAAATATCATCCAGGACACTTTTCACCTGGACAGCAGACAAAATTAGTAGCCTACAGTATCTGATATTGCTACTTTTTATCACCAGGATAATTGTTAAGGGAGTATAGCTCAAGTGGGAAAGGGAAGCCTTATTGTGAAGTGGGACCTCAAAAGCTTGAGCCTAGAATAATGTGACACATTGCGGGTATTTGCCTACGAAGCTCCTGACCTTGTCGTCTTCACTCTGTCCTCCAGTGTCACCTAGGGCATGGTCTCCGGGCTGTAGTTCCATGAGTGTCCTGAAGAGGGCGTTGGATGTGCTGGTCAGGTACTCGGTCTCAGCATTGGAGTGTAAGCCATACAGGGTGGGATTTTCTGCGGGAAGGTGCTTGTCCACGTAGTTGTGGTAATCACTGTAGTCAAGGTTGGGAGGGGCCAAAAACCCAGGGCAGAGAGACAGCTCCCCTTCAAACTGGGGGGAGAATGAAGACTTGGATTTATGCTTATTTCTGGCGATCTGAAGTCGATTCCACAATGCCAGACTATCATAAGAAGCTTTTTATATGAAAGTGATTAGCTGTCATTGTTGACACACCACAGCACACGACGACGAAATGTGTCCTCTGCATTTAACACATATGTGACATCGTGCAGGGGACAGCTAATTCAGCCCCTCGGGGCAGTAACTTGTTCAGGGTACCTCAGTGGTACTTTGCTGGTCGGGAAATCGAACCAACACACTCTCGACTAGAAGTAACCATTGCGGTACCACTTAAGTGCTTTAACTGGTACCATGTTGGTATTATCAACACATCTGAATCTTACATTCTTGAACTGAGCGTAATCTAAAGTGACCATGACATAACTAAAACATGGGGATGACTTACAAACTCATGCACAGAGCTGGGCCCTACTTCGAAACCTTTACTTCTCAATGTCAATCCATAGTCTTGCCACTAGGTGGCAGCAGTTACCTTTCAGAGTCATTGACTATGAACATTTGATACAGTTCATTGGCCATAGAAGTACAGTAAAATTCTGCCATTAAACATGCCAAACACTTTGGCAGGGCTCCGAAATGCCGATGGACAAATAAAAATTAAATATTTGGTACTGGCTGGTTGGTTGTATGCTTACCATGCTGGGCTGCATGTACTCTTGCAGGTATGTTTGACACAGTCTTCTGTCCCAGTCGTCAGTGATGTGTCCTCCATACATGATCTCCCCAAAGAGGTAGTGAAGATCTTCCCAGGGCACCTATGGGTGAGCAGGCAGGCCAGCCGCAGTCAGTACAGACGTCCACTCTTCTCTTTTTCATTAGATTATATTTCAGGTGTATCTGTTTGACTGAGTAGACACATGCTTGGCTGCAGCCACGAGTCTTTTATACACCCCTATAAGCTCAATGAGTTTAAAAATGACTTATAATCTCAAGCTAAAATCACACCTTAAAAAGCACCCTCATTACAAAGAATCAGCAGCTACATAAATATAGGAAACATGTCAGGCTTTTCGGATAAGTAATTTTATCTGTGAAAAAATGAATCCGCCTTCTTGCCTCATTGTATGTTGATGGTATCAATGGGAGCCTCCAATTTAAGCCCAACTAATCTGTGCCCATAAAGCACAGTGAAATACATCCACCCCAGAAATGACAAATCCTACAAGTTTACAACCATTTGTACCTGTATTGTTCTACAAATTGCCTCCATCAGCACTACTAATTGCAGTGATCACTTACACTGTGCTGTGTGCTGTCACACAGGCTGTATGCAATTACATTTTGGGCAAAGCTTCATTGCCTACCTAATGAATTCTGCGTATATGATCTTACAGGTTGATGTTTTGGTAATAAAATGAAGGGCATTTATTTTTGGGAAAAAATACTATGGTAAAATAATTTGATATGCTCGGAATTATATTAGATTGGATAAGTAGACACCACAATCTTGCATGACAAATCTGAAAATGTGATTAAGCCACTCTTGTATTTAAAATTTTTTTTGGAAAAACTCGTTATGTTTAAGAACTAAATTTGCCTGTTTGTCATGAAAAGGAAGAGGGTTAATTTTTCATTAATGTCTTAGAATGTTGCACCAGCTGTGCGATAATTTCACTATGAAGGTATCACTATGAAGGTATCACTGTGAAGGTATGCCATCACCACCATATGAAAGTCTGTAGGCCGCACCTTAGAGTTGATTTCCAGGCAGTTGTGGAGCACATCTGCAGAGATGGTGAGATCTCCTGTGCTAAAAGGGTAAGCATGATTCCAACCTAGGGGGCCGAATTTTCGTCTCTCAGTGACACAGGCATGGAAGAAGCAGAGCGAGAAGAGGATCCCATTAAACTCTCGCTCCCGCGAAGACATCTCCAGCATCTCCTTCATGAAAACAGAAAAGCAGAGTGTGACCGAACAAGCACGCGGGCATTCTACACATTTCCTTAATCGTTCTGGCGTATTCCTGCACTCCGTTTGGTGTTTTATACCCAGGCCGTCTTATGGGTCCCAGTGTAGCTCAGTCTCACCTGGTTGAAGTTGCAGAGAGCTGCATGCAGGTTAGCCTGCATGCCTGAAGGAGGCTCGTTTGTAATTTTGATGGCATTCTCCAGGATGCCTTGAGGGATGATGTGCTCTTCTGGGGTTCCTGCAGGCTCGGCGCTAATGAAGACTCTGTAGTCTGGGTGACTCCCTTCCCCAGTCTTTTCTAGAAGTTCCTCTAGAGTGTTGAGCCACTGAGCCACCAGGTGAATGTTCTAACACAAGATGTGCAAAGAATATAATCACTTTGCTGTTCAGATCAAACCTGCTTTGATGCAGAGTACCAGCTATGCAAAAACAGCACGTAGTGTTGCACTTTCTGCATGTGTCTTCAAAGGTCACCATCCCAAAGCTCTAATTATCTTTTCAGAATAAAGGATTTTGCAATACCTGAAGAATTACCCAGTGACCATCTCTGGATGCTCTCTCTAGAATCCGCCCTGCGATCTCATCCTGACCTTGTCCCAGAGACAGGCTGTGTAGCCTCCCATGGTCAATGCTGTATCCCATCTTCTGTCCTGGAACATATTAATTAAGGATTAGCATGAGGCTCAGAGATGCTTATTTTCTGCGGGACCTCTTTACTATCACATGTAATTATCCTACTCAACAGTAAAGCATTCAGAGAGATTCCAATGCGGAGATTATGAAGTAGACAGAGCCATTCGGTGTGTCATACAAAATCCACAATTCAGTTACCAAATTGATTCACATACTGACCTCATTCATAGGGTTTA